CAAGGCCGAGCCTGGACCGTGCTTGGATGGGCGAACACCACCACGCATAAAACAGGTGCTGTAGGTTGTGTGCAGCGGGAGTGGGCGGTGAGGGCGCGTTGGGGCAGTGCAGCAACATCCATTGTTGGACTGTACGTTTATGCTCCCACCTTCACCAAGCCGCATTGACCAGCGCGGTGAAGTATGGTCAAATAACACCCACGACTACATACGGCATGGCGAGGCCCTCATCCAGCAGTGGATCTCCAACAGGGGCTGCACATGCACACGACGATGATGATGACGATAATGACGATGATGATGGTGATGATGATGACGATGATGATGGTGGTGATTACGATCATGATGATGATGACGATGCTGACGATGATGGTGGTGATGACGATTATGATGGTGGTGGTGATGACGATGATGATGGTGGTGGTAATGACGATGATGATGGTGGTGATGACGATGATGATGACGATGATGATGGTGGTGGTAATGACGATGATGATGGTGGTGATGACGATGGTGATGACGATGATGATGGTGGTGGTAATTACGATGATTATGGTGGTGATGACGATGATGATGGTGATGACGATTATGCGGGCTCCGTGTGGCTCACGCGTGCGGTGACATTTGCCACGGGGCAGTTAAACGCGCCGACGTCACGAGCGGGACGCACGCTCGATGAGTGATCAGCGCAGCAGCAGCAGTAGTAGCAGCAGTAGCAGCAGCAGCAACAGTAGCAGCAGCAGTAGCAGCAGCAGCAACAGTAGCAGCAGCAGTAGCAGCAGCAGCAACAGTAGCAGCAGCAGTAGCAGTTGCAGCAGCAACAGCAGTAGCAGTAGTAGCAGCAGTAGCAGTAACAGCAGCAGTAGCAGTAGCAGCAGTAGCAGCAGCAACAGCAGTAGCAGTAGTAGCAGCAGTAGCAGCAGCAGTAGTAGCAGTAGCAGCAGCAGTAGCAGCAGCAGCAACATTAGCAGCAGCAGTATCAGTAGTAGCAGCAGTAGCAGCAGCAGCAACAGTAGCAGTAGTAGCAGCAGTAGCAGTAGCAGCAGCAACAGCAGCAGTAGTATCAGCAGCAGCAGCACCAGCAGGTGGTGGTGGTGGGGAACCCCGAATGACGCTCCGTTGTGCGTGGGCAATGTGGAACACGTCACCGCGCGTCCCTCTACAATCACGAGGCGGGAGTGGCAGAGACTCCAGCGAGAGACTTCCTTCACCTGCCGAGGGCGAATCATAACAAATCACTCACGTCTCATCATCATCATCAGCAGCAGCAGCCATGGTCAATCCACTGCTGGATGAAGGCCCCCCCCCCCCACCCACCCCCAAGTCGTCGGCATATCTCACACAGTCCAGCACCTGAACACGAGCGGTTGCTCTTCCTCGCTCCATCTCCCTGGCGCACGTACCCTCGCTTGCGCGTTTCCATTTCCTTTGCCGCCTCTCCGTCACTGTCCGCGACCCTTGGACTATCATCGCCTGGGCAGGCAAAGGGGGCAGCCGTGCCCCAAGCCCCCCCCCCCACCCCACTGCGCTTCGTAACGCGTTGGATGATGTCTCTAACTCTCGAATCCGCGTGTTCCTCCTTCTGTCTCTCAATGCAATTTCAACCCCCCCCCCCTCTCACCCCCACCCCGTCTTTCCATTGCTTCTCTGCGGATTTTCCAGATGTTGTGAAAAATTCGCTTCGCTAATGACCACGTCTCTGAGCCGCACATCGCACGCGGCATTACGGTGCGCACTGATTAACCTATCGGCGGAGCGTGCCCGGGCTTTACGCAATCAAATGGAGCGATCTCGCAACGCGAATGCGGAATGTTCCACTCGGCAGCAGCAACAACGAGGAACGCGCGAGTCGGAGAAGCGGCGGCGAACGATTGAGCAAATTCAATCAGCTCGTGTGCAGGTGCTGCGTGCATTGTTACACAGCATGGACCGCGAGAGATGACTTGGGAAGAGGTCTTCATCCAGCAGTGGATTGACCATGTCTCATATGATGATGACGATGATGATGATGGGGTTTCTATTATGCAGTCGCTCCAGCATGTCGGTGTGTGGTTGTGTGCTGGGGAGCGGTAGCGTAGCGCGCTAAACTACCGCGCTACGAAGCCGGCCACCCCAGTTCGATTCCCGCTCACGACCAACAACAGTGGCGGAGAGTTAAGCCGGTCCCGGTACTCCGGGACCGGGGGGAGGGTGGGGGGGTGGAGGTTGTTGGGCGGGTGGGGGGAGGTGGGTGGGGGGTTGTTTCGGGTGTTAATTTTCCGCTCGATTTTTTGTTTCCCGTCGCTAGGCTGCCTAGGAGTAATAGGGATTATCGGCGTAAGGCACTACAACGAGAGTACAAGGCACGCCTCTCCGTGGCAGCACGCGAAGAAGGCCCATCGCCCGACTCGTCACCTACGACACGTGCGTGGAGGTGCATTGCTAATTGTGCTTTGTGCACCAGTGTCAACGTGGCAGGGGCGGCAGCAGCAGCAGCTTCAGACGAAGTCCTGTTTTTTTTATTGTCACACACGACGCATTCCTGTGATGCGCTGCAAAGGATTAATTAATTATCAGCGTCAGGAGGACAACGTCAGGCGAGGTGTGACGTGCCTCGTGCCGCTATAATTCCCGGGACAGTATTCTGGACCATTCCGGTTTCAATTAAGCAGCGGGTATACAGCGCATGGATAATCGATCAATGAGTTATGTTGTTGTTATTATTATGATTACTATGAGTGAATGATGATGATGGCCATCATCATCATCATTCATGAACATCCAATGCATCATCGACACATCGTCACCGCCAGCGTCATCTTAATCTACCATCCAACTTCATCGTCCAAAGAGTAGCGTCACATCGTCACATCGTCGTCCTCATTTGAGAAAGAGAAGTCATTGAGAAGAGTGCGGTCCCACCCGGCGTGATGAGACGGGAGTTGGTCCGAGTTTGCGATGTTCGGTGGCGATTCATTCTATTTCTTTAGTCGCTCAGAGAGTCCCAGCTGTGCACCGCGAATCTCCAACACGCGCCGCGTATTATTCCTTTAAATCGTAAGCCAAGGAATCCGTGGCACGATTCGCAAGAGTGAGCCACTGTGTTGCCCACGTCCCAGTTAAGACCCCACATTTGATAGCTTCGGTCTCCTCTCTGAGTAAAGATTCCCGACAGCGTCGGATCTTCGTCTCGTTTAAAGATCCGAGAGAAAAACCCCCCAAATTATTGTCCCGGAAAACATTCCGTGAGAAACGAAGCCCTGATAATACGGCTCGTGATAATAATACTACTACTTCTACAACTCGTGATAATAATAATAATAACAACAACAATACTACTACGACGACTGGTGATTGACGCGAGGGAGTGAGGTCAGTGTCTTCGCAGCCACGCCACGGGCTCCGCGCTTGGAATCGCTTCTTCTCGTGGTGCTGGAAGAATATATATTTTTTGTTAATTAAAGATCAGAACCGCTCGTGTACGGGGCATTACAGTTGTCCGAAATGATAGCAATTTTGAAATGTACGGTGATTATTATTATCGTTGCCCTTCGTCCATTATTCACACTTCACATTTTCTCTCCACCCCCCCCTCCCCCCTCGACGCTGCGCTCTTCATGACCGTGAATCAATAAATTCGGCAGGGTCACCCCAGGGGACAGACAATAAACTTCACAACATTCCTGCTCTCCCGTCGGTGGTCTTGGTGGCCGCTTCATTGGTTCCGACGGGGCCGAGGTCCGGCGAAGCTTTGACACGAGAGCGAGCACACAACGCGTCTCTCTCAATGTGGATCGTGGACCTGTGGCGATGTGGATCAATTGCGTCGCATGATCGTGAGAGATGCGGTGGCTTCGGGAAGGCTTTGATCCAGCGGTGGATTGACCATGGCTAATGATGATGATGATGGCGATATCACCGATGTATGAACGCTGATGGGTGGGAGCGGTGGCGGAGTGATTCGTGCACTGAGCTAGGAAACTGGCTTCTTTAGTTCGTAAATACATCAGACGTTGTAAGGAAGACAAAGGTATCCATGCGTGGGGTTGGCCACCACAACTTCCCGCTGAGACCGAGCCGATCTAAAGTGGTGTTCACCAACAGCCTTCGTTGCTGCAGTCTAGAACGAGGGATCTTTGGTGAGCGCGCGCGCGCGTGTGTATGTGGAAGTGTGATCATTTTATCATAACCGGTCCTGGGCCTCCCCTAGGTCGACTCAGCCTCAAATAAGTACTGTAACTGGAGCGGTGTGTAAACATCGCCACCAGGGAGACAAAGGCGGCCGGGCGTGGTGCTGGCCAGCCACCCCCTCGTGTGCCGCGAATGGCACTTGCCTCAACAGTCTGTTAAGGCTATACGGGAGATCTTTTTGTGTTCGTGTGGGAGCAAGTTGGGTGCGTGCGTGTAGTGGGGAGCGGTAGTGTAGCGGTTAGCGCACTGCGCTACGAACCTGGCCAACACCAGTGGCGATTATCTGAACCGGTATTGGGCTTCCCCTAGGTCGACTCAGCCTCAAATGATTCCCTGGTGCGATGTGTAAAAATCGCCACGGGGGAGACAAAGGCGACCGGGCGTGGTGCTGGCCTCCCACCCCCTCGTGTGCCTTGCCGGCCTTCATAGGTGCTCGCGAACAGCGCTTGCCCCAAAAGTTTGTGTAGGCTATACGGGCGACCTTTGTCTTTGTCTTTCTGCGTGTATGGGTGCGTGTGTGTGTGTGCGGTGGGGTGGGGTGTTAAGAGTGTGTGTGGCAAGTTAGGGTGTGTGCTGCTGGGGGTGGGGAAAGGGGGGGGGTGTGGGTGTGGGGGGTGTGAAGAGGAGGAGGAGGCGGCGGCAGAGAAGAGGGTCGAGCTTACGAAGTTGGTGGCGATCCTCCGCTCGTGCCCAGCGGAAGCCCCGCTCAGCCCCCCCCCCCGCTCAGCCCCCCCGCTCAGCCCCCGCACTTTCCCCCGAGCCGAGCTGTCAGTCAGGGCGCCTTTATAAAGGCGCGGGCTTGCTGGCAGCTCTCACGGCAGTCGCTACTCCGCAGCGGTGACCGCAGGCCCTGGGGCTTCTAGCGCACGGGCGTATTCTTATCCACACGCCGCACGCATTGCACGTGAGAGACACGCGCAGAGACGAAGAGGAGGAGGAGAGGGAGAGAGCGGCACGCAGACAGCAAGCAGCCACTGCTCGGCCACTCGCAAGATCTCTCCGCCTGCCACAGAGACACGAGGTGAGGCGACAACTTGTCACACACACAACGGGTGGCTACAAAACACGGTTACCGGTTTGCCGCACGTGTTGAGATGTATCGCGTTGGAGCCCTTTCACGCGGTGCCTTGAATGCGCCCGTGCCGTTCGTGCTTTAGCGGGCGCAGATCGGTGCGTTCGTTCCATTGCCGGTTCCCGAGTTTCTGAACCGATAATCGATTCTGAAAACGGTTACACACACACACCCACACGTGGCTTCCACTGCGGGGGGAGTCACGCGGCTGCCGGGGTCGTTCCACGTGCGTGCGAGGGTCGTTCCACGTGCGTGCGAGGGGTCGTTCTACGTGCGTTGCCGGGGTCGTTCCACGTGCGTTCGGGGGTCGTTCCACGTGCGTTCGGGGGTCGTTCCACGTGCGTTCGAGCTCTGCATGCCGCTCAACCCCATCCCCTTTAACAACTTGTTGCTGACCAGCGTGGTGAAGTATGGACAAACGACTTCCCATACATGGCGTCACGTTCAAATATGAAAGAACAAAAAATGCCCATCGATCCGCCAATGATACTTTCAGGATAAAAGTCATCGTCATAATAATGATTTAAAACCGGGAGTCAATCCACTGCTGGATGAAGCCACCATCCCCCCCCCCCACTCGGCGTCAGCCTTGGTTTTCGTTAATCGACAGCACGAGTCGCTGCCCGCACGGGAACCCACAGCCTGACCGATGCGTGGTGTCATTGTACCCGAGACTCACAGCAGCATGGCCATGTATCACACGCGTCGTCACGCATCCACTTCTCTATTTAACAACAACAGCAACAACAATAATAATAATACAGAACCTGCATTTATATTGCCTCTATAATGTAACGGAACGTCCAAGAGCGCAGTTTTATTTGATCCTCGGGGTACTCCTCCGTGTGCGGCACAAGATGACTCGGGCGCTGGCCACGCAAAGTGCGCGCGAGTCTCTTGGCTTTATCGCTACGAACCACAGCTGCCAATTGCGCCCGTGGCGGGGACGTGACCACGTAGCGCGTGCCAGGCTAGGTGCACTTTGAGACCACCCTGAAGTGATCGACAGCTCCCGGAGAGGGAGAGAGAGAGGGAGGGACACGCGCAAAGTCGCTTCGCGTGTTCACTCTCAGCGGCAAACGCTTCGCCGGCGAGCCGAGGAACGGCAGGACGACACCGAGCTCACACGACTGCGCCGCGCGAACGGGAAACTTTGCAGAGCACAGGGCCCACGCGATTACTCGGTGACATCGGCGGCGCTGGCGGAGACATTTGTAAAAGCCCCCGAGTTTGAGCGGCCAAACTCTCGCCCTCGGCCTCGTCACGCAACGCACTCCACCAAGTTGCGCTCCGCTCGGGGTGTTTGGAGTCGTGTAAGAGGACTGTGAATGGAGAGGAAGAGATCACGGCACTCGCCGGTCAAGCACCTGGCAGTTCACAACCGTAGATCGGTTCAACTAGGCCGAACTTTGCTGACGAGAACGCTGAATGTCAAAACCGGTTCTAGGTTGTGCTTTGTGTCGAACCAATGCTGCTCATGCGATACACTCGCGGAAGGATTGCTGTGCGGCTGATAGGATGCGTACACGTTTGTTTTTGTTGTTATACGTAGAGCGACCACATACGAGACGGAGGCGAGTCATTTTGTTACATTCTCCATAAGGACGCGAAACAAAAAAAAAGCGGTGAGCTCTTCACTCGCTCAAGGTTCGATTCCAGTCCACGGCGGAAAAATTCGACAGAGAATGACCAAATCGTGCGTCGTGCGTTTGCGACACCCGACGGCAAAGTTTGAGGCGTCTTCAGTGGCACGGCTTAGCCATGCCGATGTGCCCCGGTCACCGCCGAATGGCCAAACCTGAAAGCCGCCCACGCCACCCAGTTGTATGAACAGCTTCCTGACGCTGTTAACGCAATTGTCTCTTGTTTAGAGATACGATATTCAATTTCAATAGTAACCCCACACACATTCCCAGCACCGTAACAATGCATCTATGATTTACGGACTTTTGTTAATCCGTTGTTGGATGAATGCTTCGGTTTCGGTAATGAGGGGCTGTTTGGCCATACTTCACCACGCTGGTTAGCGGGGTTGCTGAAGCGTAGCTGGGGGAGGGGGAGGCCACCACCAGGAACGGGTCACTCGCCACTTATGTCAGCCGTGGCCGGGAATCCAACTCGGATGGTACACAGCGCAGTGCGTTAAGCACTGCCCCACCACTCCTCCCACGTACAGTGAGGGAAAAAAGTATTTGATCCCCTGCTGATTTTGTACGTTTGCCCACTGACAAAGAAATGATCAGTCTATACTTATAATGGTAGGTTTATTTGAACAGTGAGAGACAAAATAACAACAAAAATATCCAGAAAAACGCATGTCAAAAATGTTATAAATTGATTAGCATTTTAATGAGGGAAATAAGTATTTGACCCCCTCTCAATCAGAAATATTTCCGGCTCCCATGTGTCTTTTATACAGGTAACGAGCTGAGATTAGGAGCACACTCTTAAAGGGTGTCGCCGGAGAGGACCACGCGCGGCTAACGTTGTTGTAGCCGTCGCGTTACATGCAAATGTATAATACGGAGCGACTACACGGTGAGTCGCGATTCGTAAGTGCGCACGTGTGAACGTGCACGCGCTTACACACGCAGGCGCCAAAGAGGCAATTCGCGCGGTCGAGAAGAGTGCGGGGCTTTGTCAGCGCGCGTCACGGCCACCGGGAATGACGGTGGCCGAGAGCAACGACGGAGTGGCAGCCAGGGGATGGAACGCGTCCGAGAGGAAGCACGTCCTCCCGCGGGAGATGGAGCGGCGAAATCGGGTTCGATCGTTGTTGCATCGCTGGATCGCGGGGAATGTGGTGGCGGCTTTGTGGGGGGGGGGGAGGCATATTTTTAGGTTTTTTCGGTAAAGTCACGTAGGTAAAAAATTTGAATTAATAAAAGTAAAAGAAAAATAAAAGAAAAATCACGACGTTTCGGAGGCAACACAAGTTTCCGTCTTCAGGTGGAACCGTCACAGCACGACTGCTGTATCAAGTTGCTGGACGAAGGGGGGGGGGGTCCTTCGTCCAGCAGCGGACTGTCCGCGGCTGATAATGAAACCCCACGTTCGCGCTGTAATCACGAGCAATCTCTTTGCAAAACCACCGTCTCGCACTCTTCTCGACGTCGGTAACGCGTCTCGCGTCGCCCCCATGCGAGGAGCGACGGCGCATCAGATAGCAGCGGCCTCGGGGCGCCAGAAGATAACGGCCCCGTCGTAAACACGTGCGAGACTCCATAGCCACGGGCACTTCGCGGTCCGCATTCATGCTGCAACACGTGAGCCGACAAGGGCGCTGACGTTGAGAGAAAATGCGCGTCGCTTTATCGGTCCACCGCCGCCGGATCAAGGGTTTCACCCGCCGTGTTAGTCGTGGGTGTCGTTTGACCATACTTCACCACGCTGGTCAGTGCAGCTGACGGGAGTGGCCAGTCTCAGTTTTAGATATCGCTCGCCACTGAAGTTGACCGTGGCCAGGAGCTGAACGGGGGCGGGTCGCCGGGTTCACAGTGCAATTGCGCTAATCGCTGTGCCACTGATCCACTCATGAAGATAGCGGGGTGTAGTGCCCACGCCCATAGACAGCCTACAGGCATCGATGCCTCTAGGGCCTAGGCTGTCTACACAGGCAGCTGCCCACGCTTCTAGGCTGTCTATCGAGGCTGCCCACGCCTCTCGGCTGTCTAAAGAGACAGCTGCCCACGCCTGGCCCGGAGGATCTCTAACACCAGCGTCGCTCTGCTCAGTTGAGCGTCGCAACATTTTCTGCACTCGTCTGCATCGGCGGCGCCGAGGCAGTGGTGGAAAAATTCGACATTCCCACGGCGAGGAAATGGTCACACCAAAGAACAGCCGCGGTTGATTTGGCACGAGTTGCAGGCGCAGTGTTTTTTTTGTGTGTAACGACCGCGGAGGGGCGATTGGCCGAGTTGACCCCGAGTGGGACGCGAAACCCGCGGCCTTCCCAGCACGGGACGAGTGCTCTGAGCGCAGCGCTCCGCGCCAGTTCGCCTTTCGTTCGAATGGCTCACGAGCAACGCTAAGCAGGCTGGAGCCTGTGCCGTGTTAGCAGGCGCTCATGGCAGTTGCGGCAAAAAAAAAAGCCATCGCTGTCCCGCACTCCCACCTCCACCGACCCACGCTGCCCAGCGTGGTGAAGTATGGCCCAGTGCCCATCGTGCCCCACTGCACGGCCGTGTCGGATGAGAGCTTCCACCAAGACGCCGCCGCCGCCCCCGCCAGCGATTCAGCGGCGTAAATTGTTCCGCCAAACACCCCCAGCGCGTGGCTGGATTTCATCGCTCCGTCTCTTTGCGGGATGTGACGTGCCCCTCCTCCCCACCCCCCCCCACCATCTCAGACGCGTCGCCCGTCCATCGGTGCGGTGCGTTCAATCCGGAAGAGTAGACGAAAGGTCACCGCGGAAGTGTGTCTTTGTTGTTGTGTCCCCCGCGTGCGTTTCTCTCTTTTTTTTGCCGCACCCGAAGGTCGCTGCTCCCCCCCCCCCACCACTTCCCCCACCCTCCGACCCTCGGCCCCCGCTCCACGCGGTCGTCGATCGCCACCGCACACGCGGTGATCACTCAGGGCTGCGATTCATTAGGTTCAGCATTAACCCGACGCTCAACATGTGTTTTATACTGGGCACAAATAAACCTCTGGCAGAGGAGGACAGAAGGCCGTGGTTTTAGCCGACACCGCCCCCCCACCACCACCCCCCAATAAGACGCAGCCACAGGGGCCACGTAATTGTGGACAACTCCAGGAGCCAGAGCGAGCGTGGAATTTACAGCCTCATCGGCACTAACGATGGAGCCCCCGCGGTTATATTCAGCCCTGTCAGTGCGACTCGAGATTTTGTGGCAGACTCCCCCCCCCTGCCTTAAATCTCAAATATTACGAGTCCCTATGACCCCCCCCCCTCTATAAACGTTCAACGACCCGCGACCCCTGATGAGAGCTGGACACAGCGAGAGCCGCAGGCGCCACGGATGCGACGGGAATTGAAGCTTCATTTACTCCCCAGACGTATCCTGTACTCGCCGAACAGAGCAGCGTCGTCTGCGTCATTGTGGAGAGCACAAGACACGCAATAAACAGGCACACAATCCGCCTCCTTCCCCACAGCGACGCCAATGGTCATTCAGTGTTGCGTATGCACATTGGACTTCTTTCGCACCGTACGTAGCCCACTGTGCTCATCGGATGTGCGGGGGAAGGACAACAAACTCCACCATTCAGGAGTTCTGCGACGAAACCTGGACCTATGTCTCACGGACAGGGCCCTCGATTAACAGCATCCGGATGTCCGCCAGCACTGGTTCAAGCCAGCCTGACTCCGAGTGATATCCGAGTGAGATCCCGACCTCGCCAACTCCATACGGCCAGCGTGATGAAGTGCGGCGAAACAACCCCCACACTCGACGTGGAGTTGGGGGATGTCTCCATCGTGCAGTGGATCGGCAAAGTGGTGGAAATTATTACTTATAATTCTTGCGCACATTGAGACGTATGTGTTGATACATATTCAGATGTCATTCCTGTAGACGTAGAAATACGTGGTATGTTACATGAGACACTGCAACAGCCCACATTGGATGTACCGTATGCACCCCAGTACCCTCCGTTTGCCAATCGACTGCCGCATGAGGTTCCTCTCCTCTGTGCAGGCCGTGACGGTTTATGTGTCCATACTTCACCGCGCTGGTCAGTAGGCGGGGGAGGCAGTGCAGGGCAGCCGTGGCGTTGTCGCAGCACTGCCCTCGGCGGCAGCACAGCGCCTCCATGTAGCACCTGTTGCGGCGTGCACGGCGTTCGCGCACTCTCCAGGCTCACACCTGCTCAGCTTCCGAGATCTTACGTCGTCACTGGGATCAAATCGCGCGCGTCGGCAATACGGGCGTGCACTTACATCAAGGCCGTAATTATAATATATATTGTGGGAGGGGGGGGGGGGCACATCCCCCCCTCCCCCAATATTCAAATATGCTCAAAATGTCCCCCCCCCCCAATATATTGCTATAAATAGATGTATGTTTATATGATTGTGGTTATGGTTGTACTTTATTAATCCCTAATCTCTGCCATTACATACAATGAAACAAGAAGAGGTAAAAAAGAAAAAAACAGAGCAGTGTAATACAATACACTATTATACATTATTGTAAAAAAAATTAATGAAAAGTCCATCCCATGTGTTAGGGAATTGTATTATATTCTAGGCAGGAAATGGCAGAAAAATCGTTTTAAAATGTAGATTTCTTTAATGGAGGGGGATCCCCAGACCCCCTGGAAGATTTGGTCCCCCCACTGTTGACTCAATTTGCTACGGCCTTGACCAACATTATATTTTGTGTTCATTCACACGCTCGTCTCTGCAGCCCCGAGCCATCGCCAACACTCGACTTTCCCGTGGCCGAGCCCGGTCACATCAATTTGACGACTGCGGCTTACAATAAAGTGGTAACTATTTTATGGGCCCCGGCAGTGATGATGGACTGAGTCGACCTCTGACCGGGATTTCCATGTTACTCTTCTGCCCACTGGAAGTCAGAGCAACTCTACACAGAGTGATGTAATTTCATTCGTGAGAGTAAATATGTTCCCAGAATAGTGTCAGCTGTGGTCCATGTTCATCTCCTTTGTTAGCCTTGATCCAGTGATGCAAATTCAACATTGCTATGACAGGGACGACCTTCAGGCGGTACTAATTTCACCAAGCATGGAGGACAAAGTGGACTGACTTGATTCAATCAGTGCGTACCTACCGGCTGCGACGTATGGTTCAGAAATATTGAAATTGACGGGGAAAAAAATGGAACAAAAACTGAAAAGTGCCCAAAGAAATATGGTGATATGCGTGATGGGAGTAAGGTAGAGAGACATAAAGAGGAACCCGTGAATTCGAGAGCGCCCGCAAGTGAACAGTGCATATTCACAGACTGACATGATGCATTTTTATTCATTAGAGTCCATTAACTTCTCTCTGGTCTTCAAACCTGATTGGCTCACGTTGATGACATCGCCTCTACTCGATTTAAGACCGAAACAGGAAGACTTATCTCACAATTCTGACGAATCGTGTGATGGAGCTGGTTGCAATCACCAGCGAAACGTCACAGTACTCAAGTTGTAAATGTTGTGGGGTTTTTTGTTTACTCACCAACTAGTTGCCACGTTTTGTTTACGTGACAAACCTTCCTACTTGGCTGCGTCCGGGTGGTGGCGGGTTTAACGACGACAGCACGAGTATTGAACAAACAAACAAAACAACTTTTGCTATGGATAACGGCCTCATTCTGACTGTTCAGACAAAGTGAGCGGGGGCTTGGGTAGGACGCGTCACAGCCAGATGAGGCGATGGGCGATGGGTCAAGGATAGCAACGGAGTGGCAGTCAAAGGAGGAAAAACCACACGGGGACGTTCGCTGCCGAGGAGATGGAGCAATTAGACCGGCGCGTGCGCAGGCCCCAGGTGGATCGTCGCGAGCCGAAGCGAGGACTTGGGGAGGTCCTTCATCCAGCAGCGGATTGATCATAGATGATGATGATAAGACTGGGAGCCTGTTGCTCCGATTCGCACGGTTGGCTAAGTACGGTGAGAAGGAAGTTCAACAAACATTCATACGACGGCGTTTCTCGACCATAGCAATGCGGGATTTTCAGCAATTTCTCAAGATTGCCAAAAGGAATGAGCACTGCCTCCATGCGCATATTAGCATCGCCACTTTGGATTTTCATTCAACACTGTGTATAGGTACAGGCCTTGGTCGCTCCACTGCTGGATGATGATGATGATGTTGTGGTGAGGTCACAACCTAATTCAGATATCTCCCGCTACGGATGTCTGCCGTGGGCAGGAATCAATCTTAGATCACAGGGGAGTGAACGGCTAACCACTGTGCCACAGCTCCCACACATTTTTATGGTAGCAATGTGGAATTGCCCCCATTGGCTCAGAGCAGCCAATAGAGATCAGCCCTGAGCCACTCACTTGTGGACAGGGAGACGCTGTGACCTACACTCGTATAGTGAGTGAATGATTCATGGTTCATCAGTCACTCTCGCCATGGGCGTAACGCAGTCGTTCACTAAACCGTGCCTGCGTAAACACGCGGCTCAGTGTGTGCGTTTGCATCTCGGGTTATATCATATGATCGTTTAGCTAATACTTACTCAACTAATGATTGGTTCCGTTATTCGACGAATCAGACCACACGAAAATAGTTGCAAAGAAACAGGTCTCACATCTGTGCACCACTCGTGCCGCTGGACTGGAGATTCTGAGCGGGGCTTGGTGACATTATGGGCATCAAGAACCTTGTCACGATGGACGTGGCTTGCGGGAGTTTCCCGCCTTCGGGAGGGAGGATGGCAGTCACCATTTTGTTTAAGTTAAAAAAAATTATTACAGTGTTTTTTGTCGACTTATTGACTATAACCGTCCCAGCTCTCTCGTGCACTTTTGCACATTCACACACACATACTCACACATGTTGTATACGGTCCAGTGAATATACATAAATCCCCATTGACCCAAGTTCAAGTCCTAGCCCCGGTACAATACAGCACGGTGGCAATTGGAATCTCAACCAGGTCTCGCCTTCCTCTCGGCAATCATAACTTCTCCCCCCTCCCCCGTCGCAAATAATTAAGTTGGAATACACGCAGCAATCACCGCCACCTACTGCGACAACTTGGCAGGACCCTCCTGAGCAAAGAGGGGCATGAGAAGCTGTCTCGGGTGTGGACCAATCAACTTCAAGGACAGTGCATACATTATCAGAGTTAAGTTTTTTGTTTGCATTACGACTGCAGGTATTGTGGTCTATGCAAACATGACTCCTTGTAAAAAAAAGGTGTCAGTTTTGTTGCCAGATTAAAGGGTAAAAAACCAATTATCATATAATATAAAATATTATTATATAATTTTATTATGTTTAATTTTTATTATTTTATTTCTTCCCTTCTACGTGACTTTACCGACAGAACCAAGAAGATGGATCATATGTTTTACTGGCAAATGAGGTTCCAATGGTGGCATGAGACTCATTGAGGTTTTCGTGGGTAAAGCGAGCGACGGGATAGAAACACCTCGACCCTCTTGGCTGTCTCGGGGACTAATCGGTGCGGTGCGGTGCGGTGCAGGATGTCCCGGCGTGCCCTGCTCACGCTCGTGCTGCTCTGGAGCCTGGGGCTGGCGCTGGGCGCGGCGCGCAAGGCGCGGGTGGTGCCACAGGGCGCCATCCCTCCGCCCGACAAGGAGCGGCCCAACACGTCCGACGCGAAGCCGACCAAGGCGAGGGACAAGCAGATCCTGGACTCGAGCCACGAGGCGCTGATCATCACCGAGCGGCGCTACCTGAAGCAGGACTGGTGCAAGTCACAGCCCCTGCGGCAGACCATCACCGAGGAGGGCTGTCTGAGCCACACCATCATCAACCGCTTCTGCTACGGCCAGTGCAACTCGTTCTACATCCCGCGCCACGGGCGCCAGGGCGAGGAGGACGCATTTAAGTCGTGCGCCTTCTGCCGTCCGCAGAAGATCATCTCCACCGTGGTGGAGCTGCAGTGCCCCGACCTGCAGCCGCCCTTCAAGCTGAAGCGGGTGCAGAAGGTGAAGACGTGCCGCTGCACGGCGGTGGACATCAAGGACCTGTGAAGGACGACGCGAGAGGGCCTCCCCCCCCTCCCCCCCGCGATGACCCCACGATGGTGGACAACGCGCTCAAATATGTTTTGATCCCCCTTGTTTTTTTTATACGGCTATTTATTTGATTTTGCTCGAGCAGCGACTGATGTATTTTTCTACGCGTGCGAATGCTGCGACGTATATATATACATTTTTTTTTATTCCTCCCAGCGCCTCTACAGTTTCCGTGCCGGATAATAACGTCTAGCTGCACACAACGACGACCATCCCCAACGGAACGGCCTTAGCGGACTGCTGCGGCGAGTGCTGTTAGCGAGCACCTATGAAGGCCGGGCACGGCGCACGAGGGGGTGCGTGGCCAACACCTAACGCCCGACCGGCCTTTGTCTCTCCCAGTGGCGGTGTTTTTACACACCGCACTAGGTACTCATTTGATGCTGAGTCGACCTAGGGGAGGCCCAGAACCGGTTCAGATAATCGTCACCGGCGGTGTTGGGCCGTGAGCGGGAAATCGAACTCGGCTCGCCGGGTTCGTAGCGCGGTGGAGCGAGCGCGCTAACCGCGACACTAACCGCTCCCCTAGCACACAACAACAACAACAACAACAACACAACAACAACAACACAACAACAACAACACAACCCGCTGGCAACCTGTGGGAGTGACTGCGGCGCGTGCTGCCGAGTGCCGAGTGAACGGAACCAGCTTCCAGTTGGTCGTGTTGTGCAGCAATTGTCAACAGAAGGGGGTTTCCTCTCCACGATCCGTCTGCCGGAACGGCCGATGTCTGTTTTAATCTCTTGTTCCGAAAACTGGTTTGGTCGGCACCGACACGTCCCGTCTCCAGATTTGTCATCGTCACCAAAAAGATGAAGAATGTGGACCGGCTATGAGAGATGAAAAGTTGACAATCTTACGAATCTTGCTTTGTTTCCTATGATTCCCGCAACGCGAGGTGGAACACTCGCTCACGGTCAACATCCTGTACAGACACGTGGTGAGTTTGGAGACATATAATAAACTTTGCTGTACAATATATAGTCTATATATATAGATGATGCTGTATTTATAGGACAATTGCGTTGCTCACTGACAGCGTATACTATGTTTATAAATGTATATTGCGGTGTTTAGACATCATTATAAATATATTTTTTTCTAGCATTCCCTAAGTATCGCCAAAGATACATCGACCAAATGCACGCGAGCATCGACTTTGTAGTTATTTCTTGACTTAAAACTTCGCGACTGCGGGAATTCATATTCTTTGGGGTTTTCGGTCAAGCCACGTAAATAGAAAAATAAGAAAATTATCGCGACGTTTCGATCGCAACGCAGGCAATCCGCATCAGGCGAGAGAGCTGCCGAGGCAGGAGAACATCTATGTTATCACCTGATGACGATTGCTTGCGTTGCGATCGAAACGTCGCGATAATTGTCTTACTTGTCTATCTATTTGTCTTTACCGAAAGACCCAAATAATTATTCGTAGTTAGCAAAAAAACAACCCCCCCTCCCCCCCCAACATCGATGTTGAAGACGCGCAGCGCGAGAGACGCACGGCGCGTGTTCGCAGCCACCGGCCTGGCAATTGAACAGCGCGCCAGGGTCATCGCGAGCGGCGTGCTGGTGGTCGATCGCTGTGACTTACAACATCTCAGCTCGGTGGGGGGGGGGGGGGGAGAATGAAACCAACTGCTGGATCGAAGGCCTCCCCCTCCGATCACCGCGATGTTAACAATCCACCCACCCAGCGCCCGTTCCACACGCGAGCTCATTTCATCGCTCCATCTCCTTCCACGGCGGTCTCCCCTCCCCTCGGACGCGTTCCGTTCCCCGGCTGCCTGCCACTCCGCCCGTCACCGTCCCTTCTCTCGGCCGTGACGAGTGCTGTCCCGAGCACCCCGCCACTCCTCCTCGTCACACTTCGAGTGGTGATGTCATTCGCCTGCGTTAGTCCTCGGAGCCCCGTGACAGGCAGAGTCAATGGGGGGGGGGGGGGGGGTTGCTGTGGATGGATTCGTGCTCCCACCGTGGGAGTTTGAAACATTCGCCGTTTGGCTCGGGAAGTGGACCAACAGCGGAAGAGGGGAACCCCCCCCCCACCTCCCCCATGCTTATTCGAGCAGGGAGAGAGAGACACACACACACGGATGGTTGCGATTCGCATCGTACGGGCTAATAGTAACCCGCGTTTTAACATGAGTCGAAATTTTATCTTTGAATCGAGGAATCAGCTCGGCGTTCGCAAGACGCGTATTCGCGGTGCGCGTGTGCTGCAAATGTGTTGGGAAGTGTTTGTAAATTAAAGGAGACGTCTTATATCGCATCGCGTATTTAGCTTTAAAATGGTTCCGTATGGGACACCGGTACAAGGAGGGGTGCGTTCCTCCTCGCGACTGTCTGGCTGTACAACTGTACCCTAATTATTTAAAGCCCAAATACAATAAAGCTGGCGAAATGCGGTTCACACACACAACCTGCGTGCGCTTGTGTCTGCGTGTGTGCGGCTGACTGCGGGGTCGGGGAGCGAGACGTGTAGCGGTCAGCGCGCCACAAACTGGGCAAGCCGAGTTGGATTTCCACTCACGGCCACCAACGCCATCTGAACCGGCGCCGGGCCTCCCCTAGATCGACTCAGCCTCAAAATGGGTAGCCGGTGCCGTGTGTAAACATCGCCACTAGGGGAGACAAAGGTGGCCGGGCGTGGTGCTGGCCACCCACCCCCTCGTGTGCCGCGCCGGCCTTCATAGGTGCTCGCTAACAGCACTTGCCCCGACAGTCTGTTGAGGCTACACGGGGGATCTTTACCTTTGGTGACTGTGGGAGCGCGAGGGAGGGCCCCCGCGAGCCGCACTGGCCTCGGCACCTTCGGCGCACGGCCCGAGAGAAACCAAGGGGGCCCATGCACACCAACCTCGACATTCACACACAACAATTCGTGACGTTTACACTGCCGACAATGATTTATTTTCACAACGGAGATTTCACGAGCCGCTTTGCTCTCTCTCTCTCTCCCCCTCTCTCTCCACCCCCACCCCAACTCCCACTTGCTGCTGTTGCTGCCTCGGTGGTGAGCAGCACAAGCAGAGGTCGTCGGTTCGATTCGATCTCCAGGCGCGGCAGTTGAAACAAGTTTCTTAAATGCTCGCCCAGCCCCCCCACCGCACCCACCGCCTCTACCCAGCGGCATACATGGGTACACAACAGTTTGACGACCGACAGGTCGCATGTGGTGGAGTAAAGTGTAGGTACTCCCAACTCTTTCAAGATGCATGGTGGGTGGGGAAGAGTAGGCCAAATGTCCTCTAGGGGGGGGGGGGGGGCTATCTGGAGGTGTCTCTGGTGGAGGCTCTTCCACCAGCAGTCGCGTGAGCGAGCAATTGCAGGGCTGCGCTTTCACTTTTAAACTGAACGATAAATGCAACTTTTATATTATTTGGGTCTTTCGGTAAAGTCGCGTAGATAGGTTCAAATTAATAACAAAAAACTACGACGTTTCGATGACAATACAAGCGACCGTCATCCTCCTTACTAATGTGAACCTATCTACGTGACTTTACCGAAAGACCCAAAGAATATGAATTCCTGCAGTCACGAAAGCTTTAAGTCAAGATGATTTAACCTGCATTATTTTTACTCTAACAGGTAAGGCTCAGTGAGATATGTAGCTCTTTATCAAACGCGACATGGCCACAAGTGATAGCACCTACGAAATGGCTTACCGTGTGGACATTTATACCTGCCCACATATACTCTAAACGCGCACAGATTCTAAACGTAGAGGCAAAACCGGAGAAAAAAATCCACGCGACCAAGGAAAGACAACACGCAAACTCCAAATATACAGCAGCAGGCGTCAGGGTCGAGATCGAACCCACGACCTCCTGCATACCAGGCGAGGTAGTTAACATCTCACCGCCGTTGCACCCCTTAAACAAGCCCCACGTGTGATGGCTGTGGCAACGAACACACACACAGAGTTGATTCCCAACGAGACGACTGTGAGTTCGAATCCTGATTTGAGTGTCGACCCAGCCCATCATCATCATCATCTCCGAGGTGGATACAATGAGTAGCAGTTCGTGGAGAGTCGACTGTGGCCCTACCGTGGAGTGAGTTTCTGTTCTCCTGCCACGGGAAATGCGGAGACCGCGACCACCGTCTCAGAGCCGTCAATGTGAACTGGCAGCACCACTGAGTGAGTGGTCATTTGGGCAGCGAGATACCTTGGGCTAGTAGTCCTCAAACTGTTTAATACCATCAAATAACAATCAATAAAACACTAATACAATCGTTCGTAACGAGCACAGATTTGGCGGAACGGACAAGAAACATCGTTCGGCCGCTAACTCTTGAGGCCCGCGGCTCCACTAGTATTTGTGTAATCAGCAGAGGTGGGACAAAGTCATTGTTATGCAAGTCCAAGTCGAGTCTGAAGTCATCAAATTCATGACTCGAGTCTGACTCGAGTCCAAGTCACATGACTCGAGTCCACACCTCAGAGGTGGGACAAAGTCATTGTTATGCAAGTCCAAGTCGAGTCTGAAGTCATCAAATTCATGACCCGAGTCTGACTCGAGTCCAAGTCACATGACTCGAGTCCACACCTCTGGTAATCAGCTGAGAACTCTCGTGACCAGGACAGGGCCTCATTTACAAGAGTGACCGGAGCCTTCAGCCCGACTCATCAAGGTCGAGTGAGTTACTGCCACATGATAGGAGCAGCCACGAAGAAGCGGCGCTCAGCCACGACCAGTCCGGCATCTTGGGGACGATGAACAGATCGCGCCTCCCCAAATCAAGACGACTGCCCCCCCCCACCTTGCCAGGTTAATCAGAACACAATACACAGCGAGAGAGAGAAAGAAAGATATAACATCGACGACTTGAGTCAATATGCATGCGTTTGTTTCGCGCGTGTGTATTGATTGATGTGCTCAGTGTTACCACGTCGCGTGTTTGTGGGTTCAGTGTGTGTTGGGCATTGCTTTCACGTTGTGCGTTTTAACGCTGCAACGTGGCGCCGACGTTTCCCGTACGAGATTTCTCCTGCACGGTGACCATGCCGCAGGCTTGAGAGCCGCTGCTCTGCACTTTGAATGCTGAACGCTGCCGCGACTCTTTGGTCAGTGGGAGCGCCGTGCCCGGTGGGGGCCACGTGCTCGTTGGGGACCACGTGCTCGTTGAGGGCCACGTGTCCGGTGGGGGCCACGTGTTCACCAGGACGGTAAGAATGTTAATTCGGATGAACCGGACCCAGCGGCATCACCCCATCGCCTGCTGAGGCTGCACAGCTCAGTGACAAGCCGACAGTGGCTGTCTAACACAAGAGTCTCGTCGAGTCGCGCCATGGAAATGTGGAATTATTTTTTCTTCTTCTTCTCGTCGCTGGCTTAGGACCACCGACGGTGACATTCACGGTCTCGGTTCTCGATCGGGTACGGCAAAACATTTCACCTTTTCAAAAGAAGCCCTAAATGAGTAGCGGGGAGAGACAAATGCGGCCGGGCGTGGGGTTGACCTGGCCACCCTGTCGTGCTCCCTTTCCATTTTGTTTAACGAGACCAGGCAACGTTTCCCCTCCCCCATCGCCTCTTTGCCCGATCTCTAATAATTATTCATCAACTTGCGCATTGCTGGCCGCCGCACGCTTTGCCCGTTGGGTCCCGTGCCAGGCAACTGCGTGATGAATAAAATAAAACAACAAAAACAAGCAACTAAACCCTCGAGTTTCTCATAATCTGGGACCCGTGCCTCGGTTGGCCGATCGTTGTGAATACACTTCTCACGTTGAGTAGGAGTACACTGCACTTAAACGGTGGAACAAGACGTCTAATGCGGAGTGTGTGTGGTCTATAAATACCCTGTGGTCGATCCACTCGTCTCACTTGGTGCTCTGTTTACAGCGATGTAAGGAGGACCGCAAACGGCTGGAATCACGGGTTCCATCCCTACCCCCCTCCACTCTCCTCTCGCTCTCTGCAACGTTTCCCTTTCCAGCGACGTACTCTCGCTGCTCGCCCCAATCCCTCCCCCCCCATTGTGTGTTCGCGCCGTGCTGCCGCGTGCTGTTCGGCTCGATGTCCGACGTTTCGCTCCACGTGCGCGGAGCCTCTTCTGGAACTAAAGCATTACAGTTTATGTAGAAGTTCCCAGCACATTTTTTCTAAATGTTTTTTTGTATATTTTTTGTGTGTATTCAGGTGAGAACTCAAGAGACCAGGAGGAAGCATCATTTGCAAAGGGTGACCCGGGTCACACAAAAATAACAAAAACAATTACAAATAAAGTACGACAAGGGGAGCGAAACGTCGGACGTCGTGTCGAGCAGCACGAGGCACAGCAACACAGCAGCACGACCTCGAACACCAATGCAGCGGTGTTGGCCGTTTTCTTTTTAAACGTTAGCCCATGTACAACATCAAAGGCTCTCCCTGCCCAGGCAACCAATGATGCTCATCAACATTGGTAGATCTGACTCCGTGGTGGAAATTCCACATTTCTATGACGGAGGCCATTTCCTCCACAGAACAACCACCTTTGACTTGCCGCAAAACGGTAGCAATTTTATCGACCTTGCTGGGATGATGAGTTGAGTCTACCCACAACCAGGATGTGGAAATGCGACCTTAACATTTTGCGTGAAGTGCTTTGAGGTATGAAAACTGTCCGCGATTAACAGCGGATAAGAGGTGAAGGTGCAGTCCTGCAATTACCTGCTGACGCCACTGCTGGCGGAAAGGGCCTCTGCTAGAGGCAGCGCTAGAGGGTATTTGGCCTACTTTTCCACGCCGGCCAGATGTATCGAGAGAAATGGGAGTTCCCTCATTCTACCCCACCAGGGTTTTCGTGAAGTACATTTGGAATTGCGGCTCATGATGTTTACGGTCAGAAACTGGCAGGAATCTCTCGGCGTGTTTATTATAAAACGGCAGCAGTCGCTTGCGAAACCATCAGCCGCAACGCGAAGCTGGGCTGTGAATGCTTAAGAGTTCTCGTGTGAACACAGACGCACGTTCAGTAACATCATCATGCATTCCCAAGGCACTGCTGCGTGAAGACTTATTTATAGCAACGATTCCTTTCTGTAGCCAAATGTTCTTTTAAAATAAAACAAAAAAGCTTGAATTTTAAAATGATTCACGGGTGCATGAATGTTGGTTCGTAAATATATAAATAGGTCACCTGACCAACACAATAACGTTCAGTATGTACTGTGTATGGATGCATGCCAGTTAGTATAATGTACAGAATCAACCGTTTATAAGCACACCCACACTCGCAGTGTGCTTGTATCAGAAGTTGCCCTCGTCTTCCCTCCCACCAACTATTTTGGTTACTAGCGCTGCCCGCGCATTTGCGCTTGGATATAGATTAAGTGCAAAGCAAGCGATTTGGATTTCAAATAGACCCCCTGCAATTGGTGTCCACATTTACAAGCGTCTGCGCTTAATAAGACTTGCGGACAGACGATATTGGAGGTGGACACGATGACCCTCGACATTCCAATTTCCTCTGCTGTCCATGACTCGGTTTGGAGCGACGCAGTGAAAGGGGCCTTCCAACGACGCCATCATCGTTTACAAATGACGAACCCCCTCCCCCCCGCCCCCAATTGGATGTTCCGATGAGTTTTCTTGAATTTTAAGAATCGAAATCTTGGAAATTCGGAAAGGTGACGATTGTTGCGGGAACCTCCTCGGCAAGAGACGCATTTTGTTTGTCTTCGTTTGCCCGCGGAACGAACTGTTTTGGGAGATCCTGAGCGTGACGGACGGACGGACGCTGTGGATGATGCATGGCACACAGCGTAGACGCTGCGTGCGCATTTGCTGCACAAGCACACAAAACAAAACACTCAACACATTCATCAATGACACTGCTTGGCCTTGAAGTGAAGAGTAAACGATAGGTGACGTTTCGCGCAATGGTCCTTCATACCGTGTCAACCCATACGGTTTACCCCGTGTTCTTGTACAGGGAAATTGCGTTTCAGGTCCATACGGCGTCGAGTCGTTTCAATACGGGCACATTTTTTTGTCTATTTGTTTGTGCTTCTCCCTTGTGATGGGACTTTGCAGGATGAACGTTGAGATCTATAAGGGGCACGGGGTGACCAATAAGGTCTGAATTGGTCTGTAATAAGGTAGGGCACTGATGAGGGGTTGACAGGGATGGTCCTGCTTCGTGGCACTTGCTGTGCAGGGCCATTGCCCGAAACATCGCCTACTGTCCATTTCGAGCCCAGTGTTATTTACCAACGTGTTTCGTGGCGTGATGTAAAGAAGGGTGTGTTGCTTATAACCGAACGGTGCTTATATAGGGTGTGCTTAAAAAAGGCAGTGTCCACAGCCGCGCACTGACCACACGTGCTCAGGCAGTCGTTGGCGACCGGCCACAACACTCCACCCACCTCTCTCGCCGCGCGCCTGCCCCCACGTGAGTGCCTCGGCGCGCGCACATCTCTGGGCCCGTGACGCAAAATTCCCTCGCACGGGGCAGAGCGAGACGGCGGTGGCGGTGCCACCTGGCAGTGAGCCGCTTTCGCGGGGGGGGGGGGGGCCCACCCCGGGGGGGGGCCCACCCCCCCCCTCACCACCACGGTGTGCACTGGGCACACTTAGGAACCATTGAAGGCGCTGTTACATTTCACGCGGGCTCCGTAATTGCCATTACAAATGGTGCGGGCTGAAATTGAGCAATGTTTGCTTGAAGGGTCTATTTTACCTGCCGCGGGGTGTGTGTGTGTGTGTATATATAGAACTGCGAGGCCATTAAACGCGATGCTTATATAGATGCCGACCGGCCAGAGTGTGTCGACGTGGACGTGTGGGGAGGCGGAATAAAAGCGGCTCAGTGCAATGCGGCCCCTGTCAGTGCCAGTGTCCAGCACCGTGCCAGCAACGACTGACAGGCGAGGCTCCGCGAGCCTCTTCCACGAAGCGAGCCCAGACACGTGTGCGTCTCGGGCAGCACTGGGTTTTTATCCAATAAAAGTAAATAAAGACCCCTACAGTATTTGGCTGGGAGTTTGCGTGTGTTTTTTGTAAGCAAGAGCCCCATTTGTGTCCTCTCTGAGTTGGTGTTGAAGTCAGTCATGAAAAGTCTTAAGCCACCGGCGGAGGAGATTTCTCGCTCGCCGTGCGATCAATCCACGGCACGGACGATGCACACCATCCGTGCGAGCGCGACAGACCTCGTCGCGCTACGGAGGGTTAAACGACAATAATTTTTTTGGCATTAAAACTTCCACGTGGCCCAACCCGTAAAAACAACTGTGGGTCTGTGCAGTGTCCCGTATTAACGTTCGACACAGCAAGAACCGCCGCTACCAGATATCGGTACACATCAGTTCCCTGTCGCGACGCAAAAAACAGATGCCAGTTGGCGGGCCGCACCGGGTCAAACGCGGACAGGTCGCGACCACAACTGGCAATAAGCTCGTAAAATGAACATAAGCTGATTCTGAAAAAGGTATTGCAATCTAACGTGGTCACTCCAAAAAAGCACCGTGTAAAAATCACTAAACACATTGATTGGCGATGCTGCTTTGGCAGCGGTGCCAACAATAAGAACAAAAACTCAACGCATTGGTCAATACAACCGTGGCCT